TCTAAGCATGTGCGTGCACATTGCTTGCAGTGTTTCTCGGGATTCGAGTGCACGACAGTCACTAGAGGTCGTCGTCGTCGATCTCCTGCATAAGACAAAAATGATTTATCAGCAAAACAAGATACCTCCCTTTCATGACCGTCCTCAAGGACACTCCTGAGCCGCTTCCATTCGCGACCGCAAACAAGTCTGAACCCTAAGGTGGCAAGCAATGAAACTGTGAGCCCAGAAGTGTGCACTCACACCAGTTTGAGCCCTCGGCCATCATCGCAGACCATGTCTTTGTCCATGTCCACCATCTTGTAATAATGTCCCCAGCCCTCTCTCTCAGTAGAAAAGGTCTCCAAGGCATAGACATTGACGTCGTCGTCATTGCACGGAGTAAGTTCACGGGCCCACACGGGTGTTTGCGTCCATATCGTCTTCATCTCCGGTTTGTCACCATCAAGTGCATTCTTTGCTATTCTTGTTTTTTTTTTCGGCGCCGGCTTATCGGCACCAGAAGCATTCGCTTCGGTTGGAGTTGTTGTCGCTCTTGTCGGCCAGTTCGATTTGCCGGATTTGCCGCTCCTCGACTTCCGTTCTGGCTTCTCTTCTTCTTCTTCTTTTTCTGCCATTGCCGCGCTGATGTGCCGTGCTGTGCCGTGCAAGCAGTGTCATGGTGGTGCGCTACATTGTGCCGCGCTATATTGTGTTCTTCTGGTTGCTGCCTTGATTTAGAGAGCAGTTTGTGCTTCAAGTTTCTGTACCAGCCATATTAATCTCGGCTTATCAAAACGGTACCATGATTCTGATCTGAGCCGTAAGCCCCAACAACACTGAGCAACACAACAAGTCTGGACACAACACTTCTGCTAAAAGATGGTCTGCGCTGCATTCTCACCCACGCTCTTTTAACAAAGGCAGCATCCTTGTTGCTAGCATCGGATCAAAATCCCTGCGGTAGCATCTCCTGATACATCTAGTACTTGCGCTTCTTGACCTAAGTTGCTCAGTTCATCGGCCACCACAATCAATACCCAAAGCTGCCTCAACCTCTATGCCAAGTCACCTGGCGGGGATCCAAAGTGGCGATAACCTCCTGGTACTCCTGGGACTCCTTCCATGCCTTCTCCTTGTCTTTGTGCGGCATGTCGGTCTGCCTGAATATGACGAGTACCGAATGCGTTTCGGAAACAAGGTACCCATGCAATCCCATGCATGTCACATCCTGCCAAGATACTTATCCAGAAAGTTTTTCTTCGCAGTCATGTAGGTAACGCTGTCCGGGTGAGCAGTTGAAGCCACCTTGCCCTTTGTCTTCTTCCTTGTTGCTGCTGCAGCTTTCGTCTTGGCCTTTGCTTTGCCCTTTGCTTTCGCTTTCGGTGTGCTTTTTTTGGGCTTGCCTTTGTCTTCCTTGCTCAAGGCAAGTTTTGATGCTGCTAGGAGTCTTTGCGATGTCGGATTCAATGCTTGGTGTTTTCCCACGGCACACATGGACCTCGCCTCTGCTTCCAAGCTGGGTCCTAAAGCCTTCTCCGACTCCTTCTCGATCCATGGGTCCTGGTCAGACAGGGCAGACCAGTAAGAACCACAAACTGCAAACAAATCCGAAGCCGAGAAACAGGGACCTCCACCGTGCGGTTTCCACCGACGAAAGGTCGATCGCCGGCAGTTGGGTCCTGAACACCGCAGCACAACCAAGCAAGCAACCGCAAGCACCACACACACACACAAACCAACCGCGCAACACACACGCACAACCACGCAGAGCGAGTATTCTCATCGAGCTGCATCGGCGCCATCCTCATCAGCACCAAACCGCTCGTCGTCCTGCGCAAAAGTACGAATCGCCCAGTCTCCAAAGCACTGCAGCACTGCACAAGGACCGCTCCCGACCTTATGATCTCCCAGGACCCTGGTCGTCGCATCGGACGCAACATCATCAGCAGCCTGCTGAATGCTTGCCCTCATTCACAGCTCGTAACTAGCTTCAGGCCGTGCAAAGCCAGCCCGGCCTTGCCCTTGTCATTCTCGCGCCAATCGGCTGCCTGCGGGGTGCCAGCGAAGTTGGGCTGGTTCCCCTCTTGCTCACAGTTCAAAACTAGCCTCGTGCTCATCCTCGTTGCAAAACTCGGCTGCTTCAGCCGCCAAATCCGGATCCTGCGGGGTGCCAGCTAAGTCGGGCTTGTACAGCCCGCTCCCCCTCTCTCTCTCTCTCTATCTCTCTTTCTCTTCGCAGCTTGCAACCAGGCCTTGCTCCACGCCTCTTCCCCCTCCTCCTCGTCCTCCCAAAAATCGGCTGCTGCAGCCTAGCACGACATGTTCATTGCAATGCAGTTGGGACCTCCCTGAATTCGGTCTCCCCCTCTCTGCGATCCCTCTCTTCCCTCTCTCTATCTCTCTCTCTATCTCTACCTCGATCTCTACTTCTACCTCTCTCCTACACTGGATCTTTGTTGCTCGAAAGAGTCGTCGGCCTCCCATCCAGTGGCATTGCCATCTGCATCATCCTGCCGGCTTCACATAGACCCGTTTGCAATATGTATGTGTGTCTGTCTGTATGTATGTATGTATATGAATATCCACATACAGACACATACTCAAGTCTCAAGTAAAACCCAGCCTGGTGCTTCGTGTCAGTCCATTTGTCTTCCGCGTCCTGGCAGAAAAGCGAGTGATAAGCGCACACGAGTCGGTGGGTATACGACCTCGACCCCGATCCACGAAGAACCACACCAATCTTCGTCCTGCCAATGTCATTCTATAGCTTTGCTTCACACCAGTAAACTCAAACCCAACCTCATACTCGGTGCCACCCTTCTCGGACCAGCAATCCGGTGCTGCAGTGGGCTCCTGACGAGAAATGGTGTGTGTTGCAAAACGTTTGCTGGCTACAGACTGCATCGGCCTCCTCGGACCAGTACTCCGCTGCAGTGGTAGGCTCCTGACCACTAATGGGGTATTGAAAAGGCTCGCTGGCTGAACAATGCACCGGCCTCCTCGAACCAGTGCTCAGTGGCAGGCTCCTGCGCACGCACTCACAAATGGTGGGTTGTAAAACGCTCGTTGGCTAAGCAATGCATGGGTCTCCTCCTCGGGCCGGTGCTGAGCTACTGTGGCGGGCTCCTGTACACGCACTCCAAATGGGTGGGTTAACAAACGTTCGTTGGCCAAGCAATGTATCGGCCTCTTCCTCGGGCCAGTGCTCAGCTGCTGTGGGATCAGTGGGCTCCTGCACACGCAATGCAAGAAACAGCTGAAGCATGATTGGTGAATCCGGCCTCTTCAACCGTGTCATCTTCACCCTTACATACATGTGCATAGTGTTACAAAGGGCTTCATGAAGCGAAACGACTCACTGAGGAGGAGGCCCACTCCTCTTCTCCACCCTCAACACTATCTTCATCCTTAGAATTTAGAATCATGTCGACATGTGGCACTGGAACTCAACACTGACTCTGAGGAAGTAACCGTAGCCTCATCTTCAGGCCACATGGGCGGCTTTGCATCATCAGCTTCATCCTGGAATTTTGTTTCTCTCTCTCTCTCTCTCTCTCTCTCTCTCTCTCTCTCTCTCTCTCTCTCTCTCTCTCTCTCTCTCTCTCTCTCTCTCTCTCTCTCTCTCTCCCTAGACTCTATATAAACCTTAAACCCCAAAACCCGAAACCTGGAACCCTAAACTGCTAAAGCCCCACAACCCTGAGCCTTAAAATCCGAAACCCTAACCCGCAGAATGCTAGAGCACAAAGGCAGCTTTACGCACAACATGTGTAAAGATTTGCACACGAAGAGGCACATGTACTGAATTTGAGTAAACACCCTATAGCCTCGCCGTCGTCTCCTTGATCTTGAGTTGGATCCCACTCCTGACCATCATTTTCTACGCATGTAAACTTCCTAGGCGGGCGCAACAATTGACGGCCTCTCCGTCCAGGTCATCTGTCACTTCCATCTTGACAGCCTTTATCAGCTGATTCAAGCACCATGAACATGCCACACATCAAAAATGATTGAAGCCAGTTCTCCCCCAGGCGTCGAAGTGGTGGCGCTTCAACGGGAGCACCCCAATCCTGCACATGGCAGCATGAAGCATACACAGTCTTGAGATTAAGCTTTACCGACCTGAACTGGCATCTCCAGCTCATCCGCACCCCAAGCCTGCACATGGCAGCATCAAAGATACACACCGTTGAGATTAAGTTTTACCGACCTGAACTTGCGTCTCCATCTCATCCGGATTCAAGGCCATGGCACGGTTCGCGCGCTCCCAACTGTTCTTAACAGATCTTCGGATCAGCTTATGCAATACTTTGGACTGGTCCGTCACCCACGAATTGATGTCGAAATTACCAGCCAGCGGAGGCACAACGCCGTGCTTGGTGACCAATAGTCGCACAGCTAGTGTCAACGTGCCTAACGTGTAGAACCGACGTGCGCAAAACTTGCTTGTCCAACTCAGAAACTGCCGAACCTTCTTAAACCTCAAGGATCTTGCGGGAGCTAGGTTTCCTGAGGCCTCGAGAAGAGCAAGATCTACGCTCCTGTACAACTCGCGGGCCACCAAGATGGCCTTTGCAGCCTTGCGAGTAGGTAAGTTCATGGGCCGCACAGCTGCTTTCGGACGCAGCGAATGGACAATGACAGCACTGATCGACAAGCTGGAACTGCAAAATTGCAGAGTGGAAGAGAAAGAGAGCAGAAGAAATGAGATATATGTATATATGTATATAGATATATACATATATATATATACATATTTATTTACATATATATTCATTATATATATATATATATGTATACACATAGATGCATGATTGCGTCATTTTTTGCAGGTGCATGCACCTGCAAAAATTACGCAATCACGTTTTTTTTGCCGTTCAGCTTCGCAATCATGTCACGCCAAGAGTCAAACACATTTCATGCTCAGACTCCAGAACACTTTGTGTTCCCATATAGAGCCGGATAACAACATAGAGCCGGATAGCCACTTAAATACGATTAGCACGTGCTGGGAAGGCATGACCGACATGTTCGAAAAGATGCCTACCCCTCGAGACGCCGAAAGAACTGTCGCTGCCAACCGAGACGCCGCGCGACCGCCTGCAGTGCCGTCGATTCCCCTTCCTGCGGCAAGGAAGCCAAAGCCGATGGGTGGCGAGGAAGCCGCAGGACCCACTACCGAGAATCGCCAAAGCTATGCTCACTACGCTAGCCACGTCAGTGAGGCTGAGGCTCGCCGTGAGCAGGCTGCGAAGATGAAGGCGCACATTGCGGAAGTAGCGAAGGGTGCCACGGGCGTTGAAAACGCCGAACATCTTCGACTCATTGCCGATGGGCTTGCAAAGGTCATGGACCCGAACATGAGCGATGACAGCGTGTTCCAGGGTGCCATGTATCCTCCGGGTGACTATGCGCTGGACGCTGTCGCGAACCGGTTGGCCCAAGGGAGGCGTCGGGTCGAATCGAACAGCAATCTCATCAGAGAGATGGCAAGCGATTGGTTTACGCCTGTGCTTGTCAACCGAGATACTGGTGAGACTGTGTCGGCTATTGACGCACGATGGACCCCTGAATATGGGAACAGGGGGGAGCTTGAGGCTAAGGTTGGTGCGATCATTTCCAACCTGGATGCCGTGATTGCAAGCATGTCTACGCTCCCTGTCTTCCATCCGCACATTCCGTCAACGTATGGTATGGCCCGATCGCTTCTCAACACATACCAATCGTTGCAGATTGCCATCCGACACCGAGGCATGGGTGCGATGTCCTTCGAACAGATGGTGTTCAAACCAGAGGATCTTGAGGTTCCGACTCCCGATGATTGGCCGGACCTAATCGCACCTACCCCTGGAAAAGTCATTCAGTCGATGCGGGTGGCCTTGGTGAACAACATCGGGGCGAGGCTGACGAGAGAAGACCTCAAGCTGCCACCGGGGTTCGCCATGCAGCGACGGGTGACAGCATTCCGCAAGCCAGATGAGGATCCAGTGCAGAGCCTGATGGGGCTCACCAACGATATGAGTTACGGATCCACCAGCCGAACTGGGGATGATAGGCTATCCCAGATCCAGCGCAGTATTGCAGTGCAACTGCAGAACACTGCGGGTTTCATTGCGAGTGAGTTCCGAAAGCATGCGCAGTCTATCGCTGCCTCCTCCTCACGTCGCAGTGATGCCTCAGGCGCCCTGAGTAGTCAGGGTGATGGCGCAGCGGACAACGATTTCCCGTCCACTGAGCCTGCTGGCGGTGCGTCAGAGCGTACAAAGACGCCGCCTCCGCCGCCTGAGAATCCTCCTCCTCCGCCGCAAGCAAACGCACCTCCGAGGGCGTCCGAAGAGAGTGCAAAGGAGGATGATGACGACGACGAAATGGAGGATGACACGGCCGATCAGAAGCCAGAGCAGAAACCCGAGGAGGACGCCGACATGGGTGGCGGAAAGGAGCTGCAAGACGAGGTCCCCGGCAAGGCCCCGCCGCCAGCTGCCCGAACCGCTGAAAACCCTCCGATATGGTTGCTCAAGGAGCCGTGCTCTCCGGCGCTCGAGGGCCGGATGTCGATATCGACCCGGCCAGTACCGCAGCCGATCAGGCAGCAAATGATCCGAGAAACTGCCGGATCGAGGGCCCTGGTATCAAGGCGACAACGATTCATCGCCCTGACCAGATGCCTGAAAGGGGTATTGACTCCATTGCGCCGATCGTGCAATACGAAATGACGTCCGTCCCGATTGCACTACCGGACTTCGTCGTTCCGGGACTTGACATGGGCATCGATGACTCCGTCCATGGACGACTGGTCTCCGCGACCTGTCTACCACCGACTGACGAGCAGCGCAAGTTTTCGAGGCGCCGTTTCGCCATGATTTCTTCGAGTCAGACGGGGTACTTGAACGAGGCACTTCACAAGAAGCCCGAGAAGGGGGATCACGATTCCTTCCTCCGACGGGAGTCTTATGAGGATTGCCGCGAGATTCACAGCGCTGTTCTGGCATACAATGCCAAGGAGGCAAAGTACCGATCCATTGGCGGAACGTCTGTGTCATGCAGCCGATTGCTTATCGATGACGCACAGAACATCCCTCCAGCAACGATTCCGGACGCGGGGATGATCAACCTGGTGCGAAAGCTGCTGTTCCGAGTGCTGACGCAGACGAAGGAATATCCCACCGCCACTGGCGATCGGTCACAGAACCGTCCCCAGGATCAAGAGAGGGGCGTTCCCTTGTACTCATACTTCGATCAAAGTGGGATCATCGCGTTCGGTATCATTCCGATGTACATGGAGCGCGAGAGAGAGTACATGAAGGCCAGCGCCGGGGAGACTAGTGGTCGAATTCTTCTCCAGACAAACATCCTGGATGAGAATGATGAGCCAACCGAGCTCACTCTCCGATGCATTATGGAGCTTGCCCGGACGGACAACAACCGAATGTTTGAGTTCTTCTACTCGACGATCAACGGAGATGGAAGTCCTCAGTTTGTTGGCATCCGAGCAACCTACGGTTTCGGTCCAGATAGCTTCAACCGATTCCGATTGCTGACAAAGTGCCAGCACGGGCCGTTCATTCAGCTCGCCCAGGATCAGTATATCGCCGGCGAGAGGAGGAGGAACGTGGCCCGACATCACCCTCAGTATGGATGGGGATGCGCAACGATTCGCGAGTTCTTCGGGTTCATGAGTGATTGCAAGATCAATCCCCCGAGGGGACAGCTATTCCTCACCCTGCTCCCATACGCTCCCGGATCTGGGATGAACAACGAGTGGGAAGAGGTGTATATGAACGTCCGAACGAACCCGAAACGTGAGACGCTATCGAATACCGCGTCCTCGCAGTCCATGCTCCCTGAAGGATTGGGATCCAACCGCATGATCGTATTTGCAATTGATTTGCACATGATCGCAGCGGGTATCAATCCGATTACCTTCCATCCGAGAGGATACTACGCGATCAAAGACAGTATCCCTCTTGCATGTATGCCGATCACATACTTCATGGACACGGGAACTCTGGTGTTCAACACGGCTTTCAAGTACATCGGAGGTCCGAAGTTTGGTACTGGCCCCGAGCGAGGAAACCACAGACGAGAGTCGTGGCCGCTCGCTAGCTTCGACTGTCCCATGTGCGGAGCCTCATTCCCGGTTGGTCTACACATGTGCCACTCCTGCACTAAGCCGATTCACTATCCTGATGGGATGTTTTACGCCGATCCTGTAAACCCATTTCAGGTTGAGTATTACGGATCTCATGCTGATTGGCTCAACGATCTTATCGAGCGAAACAAGCTTACGGAATTCCAACTCCACGAGTATCCTGCGATCAAGCACTTGAGGAACTTTCCGGTGTCTAGGTCTCTCTCCGAGGACCACAGGCAGACTGCGTTCTTCGGGGTGCCACCGATTAAGTGCGTTGCAGTTGATACATCGCCGGGTGAGGTGGAACTGTTCAAGAAGAGTGTGCGCGGCACGATTCAAGGCGCCATGCGCTTGGACATCTCTATTGAGAGGCTTGTTGCCGGGATCACTGGCAAGGAGGCTCGAATGGGCGTGGAGGAGTTCTTCTCTTCGCAATCGATCGCCTGTGCAGTTACGATTGTCAAGCACTATGGAGCGGTATTCGCCACATGTCGCGAGAAGCCGCTGTGCTACTATGCACGATGGCCGATCCATTGCCAACGCGCTTACCGAGTCTGCCTGTCGCGCGGATACCTCTCCCCGTTTTACACAGGGGGGACGCTCGAGTACTGTGTCGATACAAACATGCTCGAGAAGATCCGACTGGCGCATCTGCCCCTGCAGAATGCCAATTTGACAATGAGAAGGCGAATTCGACTCTCCACCGAGTTTGACACATTGGATGAGTTCCGTGCCACTATCACGGATACGAAAAAGTATCAACGATACATGCGGGTCGATAGTGAGAGTCTTTCCACGCTCCTGGCCAAGGTTACCCTCACCACATGCTACGGCATTCCGATAAAGGGAGAGCCTGGATACATCTCCGACGATGAAGAAGAAGAGATCGAGGGAGCTGCCGCGGCCAATGAGGCGTCCAAAGGGAAAGGCAAAGGGAAAGAAAAATCCAGCGTCCCAGTCATCAACTGGCGTGAGCTGGACCCTTTGGGACGGAAGCTCATCCCGCATCACTCTGATCCCCGATTTGCGATCATTGAAGAAGGGAATACTGCGCTTCTTGACGCTTCCGATACGCCCGATGAAACGCGTAAGGCGTTCAAGGACTTTGTTCGCGATCACGGCTTCAAGACGAAGGAATTCTTCGATGATGACCGTGAAACCGAGAAGAGATTCTTCAACCTTGTCGAGGGAGTGAAGGATCAGCTTCCCGATGCCAAGAAGACTGATCCGATCCTGATGAAAAGGGATGATGATGTATTCGAAGCTCTTCCCGATGAACTAGAGGAGCCTCGCGGGCTATTCGATGTTGCAGCTCGTCAAGGACGCCGGCGTGACGAGACGCCTCAGCCCAGAGTGCGAACCACCGCACAAAGGGAGGCTCCGATTCCCGAGGCTCACACTGTCCCTGTTCCTACCGAGGACGAGGATGAGGATGACAGTGAGCTGGAACGAGCGATCCGCTCAGGCCCAACCTCGGGGCATACTGGGAGAGAGCATCTCGGTGGAGTCGCTCCTGAAGCGGTACCACCGCCGCCTCGCGAGATGCCGCCGCCGTCGAATCCACCGAGTCGGAAGACGTCGCGGCAATCGGGTTACAATGTTCCTCATGCGGAAGGGGAGACACTCATGGTCTCAGGAAGGGCATCCTATTCCGATCAAATGGGGCTGCCCTTGGTGCTGCGAATGAAAACAAGGGTTCCGGAGCCTGATCTGGACAACCCGACGATTGAGGAAATCATTCGCATGTATCATGCACCGAACACGCTGCCTGTTGTCAGGAAGAAGTCGCCAATGTCATCATTTCGATGAATGCAAACCCCGATGACCCTATCAACATGAAGGCGGCTGGCGTGACTGCTCCCTCTTCTGAGGAAACAGGTGCGGGGCGAAACGCTTCGCCAGGGGGTACATCCGCTACTACACAAGAGCGGATTAACCCCCAGTTCCCTGCACCGAGTATCCGCACTGCCTCGAACCCACCTTCGATATCAGCCCGCGATGCGAAATGGGCTCCTTCGATTGTACGACCTACGCCTGGTCGAGTGGTTACAAGTGCAGAGGCACGGGGACGCCCACAACAGCGAGTTGTTGAGGCAGCAGATGTCGAGCCATCAGCTCCGTCCGATTCTGCCTCGACCGAACCGAGATCTCGCACGATGGGCCCGGCCAAAGAAACAACGGCCAAAGGCAAATCCCGAACTGGCTCCAATGTGGCAGGCCTCATCGATGAAGCTGATGAAACGAGGCAGCCGACAAGGGGCAAAGGAAGAGGAAAAGCCGAAAAGGGAAAAGGAAAGCAGGAGAAGGGTCGAGGAAAGGGCGATAAAGGGAACAAAGGAAGGGGCGGTACCGGACGAGGAAACAAGGACCGCACCCGTAGCCCCACAGCCCGTAGGTGACGACCGTCGACTTGCGTAGCGATGTATTGTGTCACTGCGAGGTGAATCCGGTTGAGTCTTTCTGACCCCTTAATCACAAGTGTCTCGGGTCAGGCGGATTCTGATGGTGAAGCCCAGCTATGATACAATTTCCGCTACTTCCTCAGCTTTCCTTGTCTGCGCCGTGCTGAGAAGACCCACAGGGGTACAATGGCTAGCCATGGTATTTTCCTCGTGTGTCCCTCTCTTTTCACGGACACTCGATGCTGCCGAGTTCTCACTCTGAGCGCGTTGAGTCTAATGTGTAAACCCCGCGTAGATCCGATGGAACATCCGATTGCCAACGATTATACGGCAACTCGCTATGCGCCTGACGATCACAAAAGGCTGCGTTTGTACAGAAGTGAAACATAGGTTTGATCCAGATGCAGAGACCGACCCACATCTAATGGTTCTTAATTGCCTCAAGCTTAGCTGACCGGAAGAGGTGTGGCTCGGTGCACAATCAGTGGATATGACTCTCCTAAACTCCGCTCTTCTCACGCGTGAGCTCGCGTCGAGGGGGGTGTGATTTGTCACAGACATGCGTACATGTGCTTCTGCCTTCTGGTTAGGATTCAGGCCAACTTTGTCTCACTACGCAGCTTGACTGCTCAAGGACCGCCTAGCGAGTCCGAGGAAAAGACCGCTTACAGCCTGGGGGTTGTAGGACCTGTCTTCTACCTGAGCGTCAACCTTACGGTTTTAACTCTGATCATCCTTGCTTTGCCTGCTGCCTTGCTTTGATCTACGATTGGTTGCCTTGGGCTTTGTGACCGAGAGTTGAGTGGAATCCTCCGCTTTTCACACTTAATAAAGCACCCGCTTGCCTCCCCGGAGAAGGGTGATCTTCCGAGGATGAGCTAATGATGGGCATCATGCCCCCCGAGTGTACAAAGATGCTGGAGGTTCTGAAAGGCTATGCCAAAGAGAACCGGCCGCAGACCCACCTGCCGGATGCCCTGCAGAAAAGCAATCTTTGAAAGCTTCGCATGGAGTTTCTGGTCTGTTAATTTGGGTGTTCGGGACCCGTAGACAAGGATAGTTTTACTTCCCAGGAGCAGGAAGAGTGCCGCCGGCAACAGCTTGCCAGGACCTCCCCGCCGGGCTTCCCAAACCGCTTCAAGTTGCTTTCTCTGAGCTGGAAGTTGAAAAAAGCTGGAAGAATGGAGGGAGGGGAGCGTGAGTAGAGTAGAACTCCTCTGGTCTGGGAGGAACTGGCATTGCTGGACGCCGGCTCTCTGGGCCGCCTTGATCCCTCGGCGGCTGCTTGGGATGCTGGCCGTGTCCTCCTTCTTCGTCTTCAAGTACTACGTAGAGCACTGTGCCTCTTGGCGGCCTTGGCGGCCTTGGCCTTAGCCTTGGCTCCCAAACGGGAAGAGCCGAGGTTCACCTCGATGATGGGAGTTGGGTCTCCAAGCCCCTCAGATTGCCGAAAGAAAGCAGCGCCTCAGCTGAGATTTCGGCAGCCCAGGCGCCCGACTTCAAGCGAATGAGTTCATCGTTAGGTGTTGAGGACAGCAGACCACGACCTCAAGAGGACTATTCTGAGTCGAAGAGGAGTTGCTGTAGGATTGGCCCGAACAGACTGCGTAGGGACGGCTTTCGTAGACTACCCCTCGCCAGATGCCATGCCAGCTTCACGTTCCTCAGAGGTCTCTCCATTCTCAGCTTCGTTTTCGGGCCTTTGCCCATGCTCTTCCCGATTGACGCCGAAGACCAGCCGATCTGGGAGATGCCTGTGGCTTTGCTCGCACTGGGCCAGTTCGAAGCGCAAGGGGGACCCGGGAGATGCCTCCTCTGTCCACCGCGAGGACCTACAAAATGGATGATCGCTACAGATCGTGACCATGGTCCGTGCATGGGGCGGCCCATGGGCCCCCCATGGGCCCATGATGGCCCGTGGCAATGTACAAAGACCCCCCTTATCAGGATAACGACCTTCGGCGAGGTCTCGCGACCTCGTGAGGCCGAGGCGGGCTCTGGGCACCAGATGTCGAAGTGATCCATTGCCCATTGCACCGATTATTCCAGCCAGGGCTAGGGTCATCCAGCACTTCCAGGAGCTTCATCTCTGGTAGCTATGCGGGGCAGGGTCCTAGTCCTAGTCTTCTCGATCCGAACATGGCCGCTTTCCTGCTCCTCTTTACATAATATGCATCCTCATTTCAGTCCAGCTGCTATCTGCTGCCCAGGGAGGTTCTCGAGTTGATATCATAGCAACGCATGGCCTTGACATCCTGTTCAAGCTTGAGAACCTTTTGGCTTGCGGCCTCGAAGTCTGGGGCTCTCAATGCCAAATCTCCGTCCCACACCTCGACCTTTCAATGTTATGGAATTCCGGGGATGATTGCGCTCATCTCGATGTACCATACATACGTCTCAAAGTGGCCAGGGCTTGACTGCTGTGGATTTGCAGCCCACGGAGGATTCCATGAACAACACGTGTTTTCGGGGAGTTTTCTCCACAATGCCCAAGCTTAGACCGCAGTCCAGGCCGCCATGTCCATGTCAGTATCTCTTCTTAAATGGAGGGTTCCACCAGCCCTCTCCAGCAGCATTGTCTCACCCGCATGAATGAGAACAAAAGGCAGCCGCCGTGTGTGCAGCCGCGAGAAACCTAAGAAGGACTTTGCTCTGACGAATGTCGGGGTCGCGTGGTGTCGCACTCTGCCGAGGCCGGCACCAGAGCGATGACGCTGCCGGGTGCGCGCCCTGCCCCTCCCCACTCCCAGCTGCACCAGGGCATTTGATGGCATCTGATGGCATCTGGCCAGGGCACCCTGCCCTGGGCATGTGTGGCAAGAGGAGTTTTCGGTTTGTATTATGCCGCTACATGCTGTCGCTTTTTCAGCTTGACACCTTTGAGTGGAGTGGACTTGGTGCCCGGTAGCAATGGCAGGTTCTGTCCTCAGCTTAGGGCAACGTCTGAGATAGGGGCTCGGCTTGCTCTGTGCACAGATTTATGGAAGTCCTCCGCAACAGCTTCAATGCATTCAGCTGGATCACAGTGTCCTAGCGTGCTAGAGACCCAACCTGTCCAAACTTGAGGTGCTCGACGGGGCCGGGGCTCGCTGGCAGTTTTGCTTCTGGCACCATTGCTGTTCTTCAGGCCTGGCCAGTTTCAGACTTTTGTGGTTGCTGATGGTGGTAAATGGCCAACAGACCGTGCATGACGAGACTGATGGAGCGTTGGGTATTTTGTAGGTCCCTATGCGTCCTGCATCAGTTGTGGATGAACCTTAGCGTATCAGCAATTGACCACCAAACGCAAGTTAGCCACGAGCAGCCTCGAGGAAGCTATATCACTTAGTCGTCGTAGGAAGAATGGGGCATGGCAACATGGCACTTCACTGGGCATGCAGACAAGGCTGGACGATGTCTTCACATCTTTCTCTTCACGCACGCCCAGTCAGAGACCTTGAAATCGCTGTTTGCCTTAGGAGTGGCAGCTTCAGAGGTGGTTCCACACGGGCCTTTGTTGGACTTCCTTGGCTCTCCGCCCATCACTTTGAAACCACATGAGAAGCCTGGACCACTTTCTTCCTTCGGCACTGCACCGAAACCCTCGCCTTTGAGGAGGCTGGAACTGCTAGTCGCTTTCATTCGGGGTTCCATTCTCCGGGGTCCTCAAAGTCGAGTATGGTTGAAGGGTTCAGGGTTTAGGATTTAGGATTTCAGTCGGACGGGCTTGTTACTGGATGGCAAGTAACCCCAGCATACATCAGGTTAGTCTGGTGTGGCGGAAGCTACAAGAAGGAAGGCTGAACTTTGTTGGGACGTAGCTTGAAGAGTGATGTTGGCTTCATTTATACAGATTCAGAAGCAGGTTGACCAGATCGAGTACCTAGAGGGTGACCTTCATGCGAATGATTCTTAGTTCTAGCTGGGGCAAAGCCTTTCTTATTGATGTTCACAGTTCGATTTGGTATACAATTGTCGTCCTGGCATGTAACAAGAGAGACTCTTGGCGTATGCGCGAATCTCGAAGCTTTGTTCTGCTTTGTCTCTGAAATTCTCGGTCAAGTTTTGATGATTGCATCCGACAGCAGCTGTCACGGCGAGTTTTCTGCAGCAAGTGGGACCACAGCAGACAAGCCTGGCAATGGAACCATGCAGAATGTTCGAAGGCGAGTAATTTCAAGCAGGCGAGCGAGGCGGATTGGGGTGGCGGACGGCTGGAATACATATAATGCCGAATCATGCAACAGATGACCAGTGCAGCAGAAAATACACTTTGCAAAAGCCACAGCGACTTGGAGAAGAAAGCAGATATCTTTTCAGCAACACCGCTGTCAGCAAACTTCAGCTTCGCAGAGAGGGATGAAGGACGGAAAGGGTCCGCTCGAACATCGGTATCCCAACGCACACAACGTCACAGGCAGCCTTTGTAAACGCAGCAGCCGGCACACTTCACCTCGAAAGCAAGGCACCAGCTAAAGACCATTCTGCAAGCATATCCTGCTGCACTCCGAGGCACCGCGCTGCGCCGCTCATCCGAGGCCCTCCTTGCCGCGGCCCCGGAGTTTCTACCCTGTTACCTCGAGTTTTTTGGCTCTGCATTTCGCAAATCCAATGCTTTTTCCATTTCCTTCAAAGGTGGCGCCCAGGCTCCAGCCCAACGAGCGGTGGCGTCCTCGAAGTCTCAGGGCTCTGGTCAGGGATCCAGTCCAGAAGGCCGAGGCAGCCCCGAGTTGTAAGCTTTCGATAAAGACGCAACTAGAGATGGAGCGAAGAAGCTGAGGTATAAGCTACGTAATTACCTTGCTACATCGCCGGCTAGAGATTCCTGTATGGACTCCTCAAGGAGTTAAGCTTTAGAGCAACTTCCTCACGACGTGGCCGCGTTTGGAGTTTGGAGGCCAGGCACCACAAGTCTGCAGGCTAGAACGGGTTCTGCTCGGATTCCACGAATCTGCCGTGTGTTGAACTGCTGAGCGCGTTTTTGTTGAGGCTCCAGCTGACTCTTTGCCAAGCTCGGGGTGGAGATGCCAAGGGCTCTCTGGTCGTCCTAGCCTCAGCTCAGCCAGCCATCTGGCTCGAGCTTTGTGAAGCGAGTTTGCCTCGGGACAGGTCATTGCTGGCCCACCCGCAGCAGGCTCGGGAGTGGAAGATATGGCAGAGCTGCATTTGGAGCCATGTTGCTTTCATGCAGGCAAGGGTACGCAGTGTGAGAAGATCAAGGAGCTCTTCGTGAAACAGCCGCTGTGTTCATCGATTCCTGTCGCCTTGACCTTGCATGGGGTGCAGTGCTGGCCAGGACAAGTACGGTTTCGTCCACATCTCCACAGGCATTGTGCTTCTCTTGTTTATGAGCACATTGTACAGTGTGAAGACAGGGGAAAGCCTTGATCGACTCGGAAACCTTGAGACCAAGGAACGACAAGCTCCGTAATTCCAAATGCTTTAGATGGGTGGCACTGCCCCAAAGCCCTCAGAGTTAGGCGACATCCTCCGCGACAACGTCAAGAAGGAGACCGAACTGGGCAAGAAGGCAGAGTTTCAGAGATTGTGACGGTGGTTTGGAATCCCCTTGGCGTGTGGAGTCATCAGGCCAAGGGCTACATGGACTCCGGTGCGCGGGGTGCCCGAGTGCCTGAGAGCTTTGCCCCTTCGCATGATTTTGCACGTGCCATCCGAGGTTGGTCCCTAGCGAGCTCATTGTGGACCTGGTCAAGGCCAAAGCCAGCCAAGAAGGGGGCCATCGGCCATCGTTTGACTGCGAAGGATCGCTTGATGCAGGAGGACGTGAAGGACGCCCTTCTGAAGGGATCCGAAGTCCGCAGCAAACAGGGCCTTTGCTGATCGCCTGCGAGGAGAAGGGCTGCTTGTTGGATGGCTTCCCTCGAGCCCCAGATCAGGTGAGCCGGAGCAGAGGATCAAGCGATTTGAGGTCAAGTTCAAGCCGTTCCGCGCGCGTTGTCGTCTTCAGCCTGTGATTTGGGCTGTAATGGCAAGATGGTCATACGAGTCGTGGGGTGGATCTTCTGCTGCCTGCAGCTGTGAGGCTGAGGCCATGGTGGATGCTGGCCTGGATGTCCAGAAGTTCCTGGTGATTAAGGTCGACGTGGTTCAGCTTTGGGTTGTGGAGATGGATGTACTGCATATACCAAAAATTCTGAACACCGTGGGAGTTGCAACGCAACATGCACGACCATCTCCCAGAACCCTGATTCTGGTCAGTCATGTACACGTTAAGGAACTGCATGCCTTCGCTTCGGAAGCCATCACCAAGAGCATTGGGCAAGAGAAAGGTGCCTGACGACACTTTGGTGGAGCGCGGCTGCGGCCGTCGCTTGGTCCTCGGGGGATGTTCTTCCATGATGGGGTTTGTGAGATTATTTTGAAACCGCTTGAGCCGAGTCTCTAGGATTAGACCCCGAGACTGGCGAGATCTACCACCTGAAGTTCAGGAGAGCCGCGTCTCTGCCATGGCGAGTTTGAAGGGCTTTGGGCCTTGTGTCTGCGGCCAGGCCACCGCCTGAGGAGATCGTGGAACGCCTGGTGCACCGTAGCGACGACCAGGACCCAACAGCTTGAGCTCAGGGTCAGGAACGGAGGAACGGGAGGGACTGCGAATTTCGTTGTCGTTGTGGCTACGTTATCACTTTGGACGCCTCAGCTGAGTGCGGCAGCAGGCATTTGGCTTGAAGGCTGCAAGCACACTGAAGTAGCGTAGAATACCCGCCCAGATGAAAGCAGACGGGGTCGAACCAAAGTCTCAGAATTTCGCATGTAAAGAGCATGCCAAGCGACGTCACACTGCACGCTTCACATAAAGACAGATCGGCTGAGTCCTTGCTGCTCTCCTAAGTTCCCGCCTGGCTTGAAGTCCTTCACCGAGCTGTGGTAGCTGCAGAAGCTTTCGACATTCCTGCAACTTGGGTGCTTCAAGGTCGGGGTCTTCCTATGACGATGCTGTCACACGGAGGTGCCCTGCCTGAGGATAATGTACCTCACAAAACCTCTTACTCTCACCTCCGCCAGATACCTACTCGTCAGCCT